AAGTCTAGTTTTGCTTCTTTGTGGCCTCAGAAAAAGGGGAAGTTGACTAGGGAGGTAGTTAACATGGGAAAATCCACTCCTCACTCAGCAAAACACTGGATAATTTAATTCAGGTTTGTGGATTCTTCCCTCTACTTTGCCAGGGTCTCCCTGCTCCACCAACGAACCTGATTTCTCGCTCTAGTGATGTTAGTTCCGTGAGACCCTTTAAAGGGTCCCATTCCTGATTTGCCACTGGGACACATACACCATTAAAAGAAAACCCCTGAATGACTAACCTTAAAACAGGGTCTCTGATGGTTTTGAGCTCATCCCTTTACTAAGGTTTTATGAGGTGGTTGAGCCAGGCAAGCACTACAGGACCCTGGCTGGCCCTGGGACTGAGTCTGTTGGGAGCAGTGAGTAGCTCTGTCCATGACCCCCAATAGATCAGATAAGTGCTGCTGAGAAAGCACTGAAAGCCAGATGAGCCCCAGTCTTTTTGCTGTTTGGTCTGTCAGGTCTGGGTAAGGACAGGTTGACAGCTGGACCTTAACATGGCCCTACTGGTTGATAAACCAGTTCGGACGGTCCCTGGCTGAGTTAATTCTTCAAAATGGTTTTAGGTCTTTTTAATTCTTGTAGATCAAACCTTGACCCCTTTGCCTAGAAGATGAAAGTGCCCCAAAGCCAGCAAGTTGTAAAGAGCTTCAGATATACTCATCTCCTTTGGTAGCTGGAATGCCACCGGCCTCATTACTGAATCCAGGACACCCACTGTACCATGTACAGGTTCAAGGTTAAAGGGTGCCACTGTTTAAACAAAGATTGACAAATGGGTTCCTTTTCCAACTCAGATCAATTGGAAGCGACAGCCTGAGTGCTTTGGTGAGAAGACTCGGCACATGGGGAGGGGTATGGCCCATTAGCGATGACTGACAAGGTGTGAGGCGTGGGGCTCAAGCCATTAATAGAGCCAAAGTGGCCAGGTTGGGTACTGAATGCCTAATGTTAATCGAGTCCTTGCTAGTCCTGTATTCTCACAGGGAAACAGGGACAGCGATAGAGATTGTGCTCCCTTCTACTTGATTCTTTCCTTGAGTTTTGTTACAAGTAAAGGTGGGGGAAGTGTGATATTCAAATTAATCAAATGGTGTCAAAGACCTCACCTAAATAAGACACTTGTTTTTTGAACTGAGGAGTAGGGGAGGAAGGTGTATGTGTGTAGAAAAGCCTGCTTGTTTAGCCACACCCACAGATCACGAAGCATTAACATTTTCTCTTAAATGTAAGGCATCTTCCAGTTTGTATGAACATGAAACCTGACTTAACAGCAATCACACACCCAGCAAACTAACTGTTTTTGGTTCCAGATTCTATTATTTAGACAAGCTTTCTGTATTTTCGTCCCAGGTATCTATTCTTCAGTACTGGATGCTGTCATGGATAAGAGTTTACAGAAAGATAGGAGATAAAGGTCCCATAGCTTCATCTACCCCAAAAGGGTCTAATCTAAAAACTGGTAGGAGACGTTTTTCAATGGCCTGAAAAATAGTTTGACATTTTGGTGACTTTACAGCACAGTGGTCTGGGGTTAGATTCACATTCCAGCTCTGCCATTTTCTAGTTAGTGGTTTTGGGCAAGTTTCTTAACTTCTCTCAGCCTCGGTTTCATCCAGTATATTGGAACAATAATAGAACCTAACTCAAAGGATTGTTTGGAGTATGAAATAGAGAATGCGTGTAAAACAGCACAGGGCCTGGCACATAGTAAGTGCTCAATGAATATAAATAAAAAATTAGTATTGTAACTGGAGAATAGAATCCAACTCTTGTCATAGCTTAGATTAGACTTCGGGTCTAAGAAGACATATTCTATTTTATGCAAAATTTCTTGAGTATGATTCTCTTTGGGGAGAAAAGTCCAGAACTTTGCTCAGATTCTCAGTGTTAGAGCCCCATGAATTAGATGACTGTGGGGACTAAAGAAACACCAATGTCTTCTTTGTGAGTAGCTTGGAATTTCTCACATTATGAGACTGAGTTCTCTCTCATTTCACCAAAACGACCTCAATGCAGAAGTAGGCTGTGAAGACACTGGCAGAAGAGGGACTACTAGGCAAGTCTAAGAGCAGAATGCAGGGTAGATTTTAGGGAAGACAGATGTTTCCTTCTCTCTTCTCCCAAAGAAAGCAGCCTCGAGTTATCTTATCTGACATCAGCTAACGTTCAGCGGAGATGCCAATCCCCTGCCTCGCTAGGGAGGCGTCTGTCTGCGCTCCTAATGAGGTGTTCTGGGACACGGCCCTGGCTTCCTACCGTAACAGGTACATTTGGACACTAAACATCCTTCTCGCCTACACCACCTTTGTTTCGGTCCAACTGCAATCCTCATGGAAGTGGGACTGATATTACCACTTTGGGGGCTGAGGTTGCTTTAGTGTGGGTGGTATGTTTGAGACTGTTCTTTGATTCGATGACATCACTAACATTGTTAAGACACCCCACTTCCCGTGGCACCAAGGGCTCACCATATTCTTGAACTGCTCTCTTTTCTCAAAGGCAGATGCTAATTTCCTGCTCTGCCAGTATCTATAAAAGCGGAGTAAAAACAAAAGAAAATTGTATATGCAAGCATGGATCACCCCAAATGGGCTATTTTCTCTTACACTTGTGTTCTAACAATACGCAAAACGAGGACCTCCCACCAATGGTTATTTTCCGTTTGCCATTCAGATCTGCCTTGAGAAATTTCAAGGAGTCCATTATGAAGGAAGCGTCTAAGAACCATAGAAATCACATTGCTTTTGAAAGCACTAGTGCGGGTGGCGAGCTACGCAGGCTGCGGCGGCAGGTTTCACACTGCTTGATCTCTTATCGTGGTTTAGCTTTGTGAATGAGAAATTCAGGGGCAATTGTATAATTTTAAATTCCGATTACCACAAAGAAAGAAATGCATCTGACATCCCCAGTGCAGTAGCTTTGACTATTTTAATGGAAATATGTTGGAAACGCGGGAACCTTCCACCGAAGAGAAAGTGATGAAAGACAGAAAGACATTTTATATTTGAGATGAAAGGCCTGTTTCCTAAGGTTGTTTCTTTTATTATACCTTTCCCTCCACCTGCTACTGGGGCACCAGGCAAATGTATCATTCTGGGAGCTGCTTTATTACCTTTTTGTGCCTAAGATTTCCTGGTGCCCAGGGAAAGCTAGAAAATGGGTCTTGTTTACAACTTACTCAAATGAGGTTTTGAGTAAGGATGAGGCGCTTACATGACTCTATTTATCTCCTTTGTCCAAGCATCTTGCTGCCTTTTCCCTAAAAGAAACAAAAGCAAGATATTCTCATCTAGTTGCTCCTCTGAAGGGCAGGGTTGCCCACTGAATTCTCCTTTGGTTGAATCCAGACACAGTGCTGAAGGACTCCTTAAGCGATGTCAATCGGGGTCTGGTAAATGGTGGTTGTTTTCATTAAGAAAAAAAAAAAATCTTTCCTCCCCGACATCAATACTCACAGTACAAAGGCTCACTCGTGCTGATGCTATTTTAACAATCTTGAACTGAGTGTTCAGCCCAGGATTAGTGACAAGGATGTTGACTGAAGCTAAGGTAGGAACCTGCCTTACCACCCAGACGCGGACACTGAGTTCAAAATAGTCTTCTTCGCACTCCCGCTACACGAAAGAGCAAAGACCCAGGGCCTTGGAAGCAAAATCACACTGGAGTTAATCTGGTTCCTCCCAGCAACAGCTTTGTGACAGAACAGTCCTATATTTTTTCTTCCTACATAGTTTAAGATGCTTCTTTCAATATTTCTGATTGTGTATTGGTCTCACCAATCAGTCAGGCCTGGCGTGGTCATAGCATCGTAAGTTTGCCGGAGGTGTGAGCCATTGAGGCGGTGACGCCAGAAAGACAGATTCAGTCAAAAGCACTCTCCATGGTAAGTCAAAAAGAGGACCATGGAACGGGCATCTTTTTGGCCTATGGAAGGTGAGGCGGAAACCTCTGAGTAGAGACTTCAGAAACAGCCTCTTCAGGGCAGAGATTCCGAATTTGAATCACAGGACCCCCACTTCACTTCTCGCCACTTAAGATGCAGATGGGAGGAGCCACCTCTCTTAAGGGTCCAAGGAGACAACTCAGCTTTCCTTTCCTTCCCTTCTTCCCCTAATTCCATTCTCCCTGTTCCCAAGGTCCAGTGAGCCTGCATTTCTGACAAGTGGATCACCATTTTTTCTATAGCCAAGTATGTCTGTTCCCAAGCACACACAGACATGGGGGCTACTCCGTACTATCACGAAGTCTGCTTTCTCTGTTGCTGTGCCCAGCACCTCCCATAAGTGACCTCTGCACCAGGGACCAGCAAACTCCTTCCGTAAAGGCCAGTTAGTAACTATTTAATGCGTCGTGGGCCATGAGCTCTCTGGTAACCCTGCTGTTACGGTAGGAAATCAGCCACAGACAGCATGTACATAAAAGGATGTGGCTGTGTTACCATAAAACTTTATTTACAAAAACAGGCGATGAGAGGGATTTGGTTTAGGGAGCATGGCTTGCTGACCCCGGCTCTAGGATCCAGCCTCACGCAATCTTTGGTCTATGGTTGCTGGATAGATGGTGAAAATGATCCAAAGGAAAACTGATGTAAAAGGAATGAAAACCAAGTTTATAAGATCTAGTCCTCGGGTAACATAATTCAAAAGCCTCATATCAAGTTTCCATCTACAGGAATGCCACTGTTAGGGGTTTTGAAAACTTCCATCACAGCCTCATAGCTTCCCAAGACCAAACCTTTATGACTTAGGGAGATGATATCAAACAGACCCATGTGCTAAACCTGTCTGGAGATCGGTTGTTAATTTTTAAAACTCTTCTGAAGAGTATGAACATACTAGAACTTCTAGAGCATTGAAGACTCGTTTGATTTCTCTGTTTGTTAGGCCACTGCTGCTTACTATACCCAAAGGTGTGATTTTTCTGGAAGATGTTATGTATAAAGATTAGAAAGAATCTCATTTTTTAAAATTAAAGGATCTCAGATTTTAATGTAAAAGATATATATCTTTTCCAGAATTCAGGTAACACTTGTGACCATGGACAAATATTCTAGTGGAAATAGGGAGAAAATAAAATGTACACTGAAGAACTTAGGCTGCATTTTACCACATTCTAGAGTTTGAACGGAAATACATAGCTTAATCTGTGCAAGTTTCCTGCTCATTGCCTGGCATGTTGTGGTCACTTGGCACAAATGGAAATTAGGATTTTATATCATGTCTGTTCCCCACAGGTGCTTCATTTCTGTTCCTGGCTGCTATTATTATTTCTAGTTTATTTGTGATGTGATTACCTTTAGGATAAGCTTTTGTAAGTGGGATCATGCCAATTTTTTTTTTTAATTGTTATAAAATTCTCAAGGTGCTGATCTCAGACTCCCACAGGATGATTATAACAAAATCAGAGGTTCAAGAACCTTTTGTTTGCTTGTAATCCATAAATTGTGTACTGAAGATGGCAAAATGCTAAGATGGTCTGCCTGCTTTAAAAAACTCTGTCTTAAGGTTTTCAGCCACAAAGGACCTCACAGCTACTACTGTTTATCTGCATGATACGGGGTCAATGCTCCCAGTAGCCAGGGGGGCCTTTCCTGGCTTAGCAAAGCCCTGTGTGGACAATGCAGATTCTGGCAACATGATCCTACAGGATATAAACAATCCTGATCCAGAGCAATTTGAAAGCTTTTTGTTATTTTCTTTTTTAGACCCTAGTGCTATAAACTAAGCAATCTTATGATCTTGCCCTTGAACAACCCAATTCTTCTATGTGGGACATTGAGCAAGAGTGAGTAGAGGGAGCCTGGGGTCTGGAAGCCAGCAGGGCCATGGTCAGGCCAGGCTGGGACCAGCCCTCCTCCCCCTACTTCTAAGTGACTAAGCAACACACAGCTTGCTCTTGCATCCTGTGTGTAAGCCTTAGCTCAATGCTTGAGTGTCAACTCAAAAATATCCAGCCTTTTTTTTTTTTTTTTTTTTTAATCTCCTATGACAAATCTTACCCTGCTTGTGAAGTAAGAAAAAAATTAGGACCTTGTTGAGAAACAAAAAAAAAATGCCATTCATGCCTACAAGTACAACTTCATTTAGGATTGTGGGGCCACTCCTTGCTAAGGGGCATCCAGGACTGTCTAAGCCAGGCTTGTCTCCATCCTGGGCTCCTCAGAGTCCACATCTGTCAGCCGCTTGGCTTGTCGACCTGCCCTGAAGATGCCCAGTCATTACTAAACCATTCCCCTCCAATCACCCAAAGTAAACTACAGGAAAGGACAAGATAAATAGTATGTGCTTCTCCTTGCTGAGTGCATTGACTTAAGGCATAGGCACATTTCCCCCTCTTTGAACAGAGATGGTGTAATCCCCTGTCCCAGCACAAGAGCCGGCCAGGGTGACCCTGGAGCGTGAGGATGGAGGCGGAGGGATGGGCAATAGCTGATGGCGGGAATCAGAGCTGCTTCCACTACGTGTGGGGGAGAGGGCACTGCTGGGCCCAGGGGACACAGTGATTCCGATAAAGACACTTGACTCAGTTTATGTTACATTTCAGTGAGCACTTCTGGGGGGCGGGGTGTGTAGTACTTCAGATCTGTTATTCTTGGAGAAAAAATAATGGTGGATTTAGGAATATGACTCTCCCTACACCGCAAAAAATACATAAGATCCAAGTCAGTGAGTGTGCATGCCTTTAGAAATAAAAGGCATGTCTCTAAATCGTCTACCAACCCCAGGAAATGTAAAAATAATGAGGTTCCCAATGCTACTTTTAGACTTCTGTCTCCAAATGGCTCCTCTTGGGTTAGGGGTTCTGCTCTTGTTAATTTTGATCAGCCCAATCATTTTGGGTTGGAGTCTACTGAGTCCGTCAGAAGTGAGGATGAACAGATTTTGAGCCATTTCCCCCCTTAAACAGAGACATATCACCCACTTACTCTTTGCCTGTAAGGTCAGAGTAGCTTCCAGCTGTTGGAGGAGCAGCTGTTTGCCTATTTTGTGCTGATTTGTGATTCCTCTTTTGACTGGGGGGTAATATGTGAGTTGGGAGGAAGGAAGAGAGCAGGAGTTGGGCGAGCAGTTCGCACTTTTCTAAAATTCCTCCCCCTCACTCATCCAACGACAAAAGCCCCCAAACATTTGACTGCGAAGGTAGGCCAGCCATTTGAATCTCTACGGCTGACTTCTGTGGCACTGCCCCTCCCTGACTTAGGAGGGAGAAGCTGGCCAGCCTTACTAAAGGAAACCAAAGGTCCATTTGTAATTCCTGGGTCTCAGCGCTTGAACGTGACTTGGAGATTCCCGCCATCGCTGCCCCGAAATGACGAATGGAGGAGAAATGCTGTTACTCGAAGGTGTGGGTGAGTATGTGGCAAGTGTCCGATACACTGAGGGACTCTGAAGGGTCTGGGGAATGCTGAGCCTGAATCGGTGTTTTGCTTTTCTCATGTAGGTGGTGGGGTGGGGATGGAAATGACTGGATATCACAGGGTCACCCGTGGTTCCTTTTGTACTGAAACCTCATTTTATACAGAGGATATATATATTTATTTATATATATTTATATATATTTATACCCACCCACTCACGCATACACACACGCACACGCGCACGCACCCGCACACACACGCAAGGTCTTTGATAGGCTTTCTGTGTTCTAGTAAAAATAACTGGCAGCCAGTGTCTGAAGCCAGCAAAAGGCCCTCTGCTGCCGACAGCGTCCGCTATGGAGAGTCTCTCAGAGGCAGACACTTGTGTTTATCTGACAAGTGGAGCCGGTGCCTGCCTGGGACAGGAATAATCTCCCATTGGCGCAGACGCAGAGCTCGAAGACCTTCTGCCTCGTCCCCGCGGGCGTGTAGGATCCGTGAGGCAGTCTAGGTAGTTTGATTTTCGCAGCATCTAACTTAATCTAAAGAGAGTAGATAGGAAGGGAAGAGTTAGAGGCTGTCATTGATCCTCGTGACATTCAGAAACAGCAGGTGACCGCTCAGTTCCACTTAAATCGCGTGAGCACACACTATGCGTTGGGTATTGTGGGCACTGGGGATGAGGCGACGAACAGGACATGGCCCCTACCCTCACAGAAGCTTATGTTCTAGCGAGGCACCGCTGCCTGGCAGCGACAGGCGCATATTAGCATTTTGCAAAAAAGTGCATCACGAAGAATGTGAATAGAGCCCTAGAGGGAAATACATTTGGAAATGCTAGCTTTAACCACTGTCTTTACTAGGGGACTTCTCACACCCTAAATACACCTGTGTGCATGGTCTGTCTTCATAAATACACAGCGTTTCCTGGGCTTAAGTGACTCTTACGATACAACTGATTCCTGCGGCCTGGATTCTGATAGCTATAAAGCACGCACATGATGGAGTCACTGTTTTAAGTGCGTGTGGTTTGGAGTCTGTGGCTGTTTGACGAGGCCGCTTTGATAACGGAATACTCCATCTGACTAGCTCTTTCAAAACAAATATGGCAAATGCCAAACCCATCAGAAGGCGGGCTTGGCGTACACAGGCGGCTGGAGACGGATCACCTCTAAGCCGTGACGAAAGGGAGGACAGAGTTTCGCTTTAAAAAAGAAAAACACATTTCCCCCTCTTTTTAAAATTCTTAAATAGAAAACTTTGGCTTATGAGCACAATGAAGGCACTTAAAAAGTTTGCAGCTGAATCATGTTTTCTTTGGGGCTTTGGCTTACGTTGCAAAAACACAAGCAGCTATTCTGTTCACCGAGGTGGGACTGTGTTGGGCTAAGAGGATGAATATTTGCCATCCACATTCTGTTGTTGCCCAGGGCACTGAAGTTTTGGTTTGTTCCGATTTGGGGGAGCTGCTGGATCTCACTCTCCATGCTCAATGAAAGTAGAAACATGCAACATAAACTTTAAAAATGACTACCAGTACGTTAAGTTCATCTTTAGCTCGATGTGTGTGATACACAGCTTAATTCTCCAGCTACCTAAATCTTATTTTAACATGACAAGCGACAGAATTTGGAAATAGCGTTCCTCCTTACAGCTGTGTGTGTTACACTGTCCTTGCAATACATGCTATTATCTCAGCGTCTCACAAATACCGAGTCATCGCTTTTACGTGCTGTGGGTTTGGCATATCATCGTTCTGTTCGACGTTATCTGTTCCCGAAATAAAACCTTGTGGTTGGCTCCTTCTGTGGTTACAGGGCAGGGTCAACTTCAGTGGCAAAGGGAGGAACAAACCAGTTTTGGGACAGGTTGGCTTGTGGCAGCTGCATCTCTCTGGACTCCTGTCCTTCTCAGCCCCTACCTCTCCGTCTTTGGACTCCAGTCTCAGCTCTGTTCTGCAGGTGGCTTCCAGATTGCCGGCTTCTGCATTTATTTCTACTCCTTTTGGGGCCTCCATCACCAGAGACCGGGTTGGGGACTCCAACCTGAAATATATACAAGACTAAGATTAAAGATCCCATTTCAGATTTTGTGTGTGTAAAAAACTGAAGAGGAAGTTCGATGCTCAGAGCATTGAAATGGCACTTCAGTCTGTGCTCAGGAACTTTTTCTAGCTTTGCTTTACAAACCTGGTCAAGTTGATAAGGGAGAGTGTGTCTGGGCTCTACTCTCATTGCCTGTCACCAAGGTTGTAAGGAAGGAGTTCGAGGATCCTGGCTTCTTTTCATCTTACACCCAGTCAATTATTGTTTTATTGGTAGAATTAACCAAGATGATTTTGCACCATTTTCTTGGTTTCTTTGCTATAAGGTCTGACGGATTTAACACAGTTTATTCTACCTTTTCTTACGTCCTGTTTTCACTAACATTGATACCTTCCCCCTGTGGCATAGTTTTCCCTTCTGATAATACTACCTGCTCACCTCCAACTTTGTCCATACTCTTCTCAATGGCGGTCATCCAGCTTCCCCAGGTGATAGTCCCCATGCCATCTTTTTCCCCACCCTCCCTCCC